TAAAAAAGTATTTCCTGCTTTTTTTTTTTTTTTTTTGCTAACAAATTACTTTAATTCTTTTGGAGGGAGACTAAAGCAATGTAATTATTTTAAGACACGATTCTTTCCTCTCTTTGATTTTTAGTTTTTCTCTTTTTAAGATGCAATCACCGCTATGTTGGACTGCGCAGATCGGCCTGTTCTGCAAGCTATTTTCCTTAATAGTAACTGCTTTGAGCATCTTATTCGACTGCTGCAGAATTGCAAGGTAAATGAAAGATTGTAAGAAATATATTCACAATCTTTTGAACCATTTCGGTTATATTCTAGGAGAAAATCTGATTCTTCATTAAATTTAGTTCAAAGAGTGGACCCAGCTTACTTCTGTGGTGACCTAGTTTTTAATAGAATTCAGAGGAGCGTCTTATCCTTGTAGCAGGGAAGAGTATGAATAATAAAGTCTTCCCCCAAAGGATTCCTTCCTTATATAGCCTTCTTATTTAACTGCAGTGCTATGTGAATTGAGAAAACCTTAGAATTGCACAAGTTGTAGTGAGAATTATATAGGTTCTAATTCATCTAGAAGCCATCCAGTTGGACAAAACATGGATAATGGTGACATGGGTATTAATATTGGAGAAAAGAAGAAAGAAGAAGAGTACAGTATTTCAGATTTGAAGAGGAAAAAGTGTTTAGTGCCCTGGTGCTGAAATTGCTCTATAGGCAGCTCCTTAAATGAAGTGTATCTTTTCCTGGAATCATACTATAGCTGTGGAAGACAGCTGTGTAATTCCAGGAAAAGATGCAGCTGCTTTAAGGAATTGCAGACAAATGCTGCAGAAGCGAATTCAAATACGTTGCTGACACAGAGAGGAAAAAATGACTCGTATCCAGAGATTGTTAATTTGTCCCCCACATTATGTAGAAAGATTGATGATCAAGTACCATACCTGTCTCTGCATAGTTCAAACAAACGGCATCATTTTTTATGGGAATTGGGACCAAACTTTCTCCTCCATCAAGGGAGCAATATGTTTGTTGAACTTATATATTCCAAAGGATCTTCTTAAATGGAGAGTCGAAGTTGCAATTTGGTCTTTCTAATAAATTAGGAACGTCAGTTCTTTTGTCATTTTAATATTCTTCTCACTCAATACGACTTCTGGACAGACATGAATAACTCTGGACTTTTCTTTTGTGTGAAAAAATATATATTTTTGTTTGCCTTCACAATATAGTCAGTCCTGATATGCAACCCTTTATCTATCATGAAATGAAAAGCATCATTTATTTCAGCATTTTATTAATGGTGTCATTATTTTTTCATTGTTTATGAATGTGTTCGATCTAATGCAGCTAACTGAATTTAACGTTAGAGATAATCGGATAACGAACCCCTATAATTAGCTCCCTTGTGGTTTAGGGTTTTACTTCAAAAGTCTTTGTTAGATATGCGTTTTGCTGCGCAATTGAACATATATAGGGGACGGGGTGAACATCTATAGGTTGGTCATGCTTCATATCCATGTTGCATTCTGCACATGAGTAGGGGAATGGGGTAGATACCTTTTGATTAATCAGTCTTCACATCCCAAATTATGTGGGTTTATTTTAATTCCAAATAGATCAAGGTTGGCCTATTATAGTTGGGAGATCATTGAGAAACCATATTTATCTCCTCTTGGGTTTCTTCCTTGAAGAGAGGCAGCATGGTACTAGGTTTTTGTGTGTGGTCCCTATTGATTACTTCTGTCACATACCAATGCTCCTAATTTCTCAGTCATTCCAGATAATGTGAATATGTCATAAAAATCACACAGATTTTGGTTTTGAGGCCAAATAACCTAACACCCCTTCCCCTTTTCAGCCTCAACTATGGCTAGTACTTACGTAATATCTTCCCTTAACTAGGTTATGAAATTAAAAAGTAACATGGAATTGCAAATTTTCAGTAGGCGGAAACTTTAAATATGTATTTCCTGTAACAGTGGTGGGTTTCAAAAATTGTTTGAACCTACTCTGTGGGTGTGGCCTCCTTTGTGGGAGTGGCTTGTCATCCAT